TTTTTTTTAATGTAACAAAAAAGTTATGCGAGTGATCACTACTATAATGAGACTAACTGTTTACTCAGTGCTATTTCTATTAATCGATAGCTTATTTTCAAAATAATTGATAAATATCAACTACTTCGGCTGTTTTGTTTTGTTTTCCACCCTCCTGTGTACTATAAAGTTATTCCAGCTCACTTGAGTGACATTTTCAAATATATATCTAGTGAAAAATATCGCATATTTCCATTCATTTAACTAACCTAGATAACCTTCGAAATGAGAAGTTGAATAATTGTAAACAAAAAAGATAGCTCTGATTGAGTCAGTGAAATGCATACATGAATGGACTAACATGGCATCTTGTCGAGCATCTTAAATCCATGGAAATTGATAAATAAACTGACTTATTAAAATCTTGACTTGTGATAATTATTCAGTAATAATGGTTTTTCATTCTCAAAGGTGTGCTGCAATAGCAAGTAATAAAAATGTCGACAATACTTCTCTCGTAAATACATGCACAGTGATGAAAACCCAAGTAAAATAAGAAGCCTTAACTCATGTGCTTTAAACTGATAATATTTTAAAATTGTACTTGCTATTCGGCATGTTGTCAACGAAAATTTTTACGTAGATAGAGAGATATTCATAGGTTCAAGTTTTGATTTTAACGACCACGATTGATGATGATGTTCTACATCAAACCATAGATGAAGTCCGCTTTAAAATACGAAAGATACAATTTGTTTTCAGTTTTTGATTAAAAAAATTTTTTTCAAGTTTAAATTATAAATTGTGTACTCGATTTGAGCTTTGTTCTAAGGATAACATATAGTTTATCATTCAATAATTAGACTTGTAGTGCTTAAATGCTGTGCTTCTACAAGTAATTAACTGTTTTTGTGGAAGGTATAGTGTTCAATTTATTTCGAATCGTGTACGTCCTTTTCATTTTATTTTGTTACGGAAGGAAGATACACAAGGAAATACTCAAACCCAAAAAGAAAATCTAATAGACAAATCTCTTTTCTATATTTCCTAGGCATACACATCATCTCTATATTTCCTATCGGATGTACATAAGAAACAAACTTGCAAAATCTGCACGAAGTGCTCTAACCACTTATATAAATTTTCGAAAAAGGAATCATAGAAGAAGACACTTTAGAAATTAAAAAGCATATTTGTATATTAGCGTGATTGAAAAAGAACTTTGCTGAACGCTTTTATTGCATAACAAAAAAGAAAGGCGAAAACAGTACATGACATTTGATAAATTGTAATACCTATATAATAAGTGATAAAAGATAAGCAGCATTTAATATTATAAATTATAGACTAATAATACTAAATAAATGAAAACTATTTCCAAAACAGTTTGCAAAAGATTTTAAAAAAATTTTAAAACATATACAATTTATTTTGTGCAAGTTTATCTTCACACAAGAATATAAATAATAGCAAATAAAATACATTTTATACAGAAACGTTCTATGGATAAATGCATTTGAACATTAGATATGAAGTCACGATCCATATAGACTTTCTGTTTCATTCGACAGTGATTGTGGTCACATGTGGCTTAATGGTACGTATACTTGATTCTAAATCGCTAGTTCACTTGTTCTAATCTCATTTCTATCATTTTAGATAAATCAACATTTCAACATTCCGTTGGCCTATAATGAGGCAAAGACCATCGTTAGAGGGTATCGATGGCGACTCAGATTAAACCTGAGACGGATTGTAATATTTTTTTAAAATTTTAAATACTGAATCTAACGCGTCTAGACGCGATTCAATTTATAATCGCGTCTAACCGCAACTTAGTTTGGAACCGCGTCCCCAGTGAAACATTTCCTGCGTCTGAACGCGATTGGAGAAAATTGCGTCTAGACGCGATTCAGTTTAGAACCGCGTCTCCAGTGAAACATTTCTTGCGTCTAGACGCGACTTTTTCCAACCGCGTTTAGACGCGATTTTCTTCAACCGCGTCTAGACGCAGCAAATGTTTCACTGGAGACGCGTTTTTGTGCGTTTCTCTGCTGCATTTTACACGCAACAAAACGCAACTCAGACGCGTTTTTATCGAAAAAAAATTTACATGGGATAAGAAACACTAGGTATTTGACAGTATTTTTTAATTATTGAAAAGAAGTGTATTTTTAGCTCTTCAACAGATTCATCTATAGCACACATTATTAGCTATACTTCTCATCAACCGTTGGTTACAAATCATCGAGTACAACAAATTCTAGCCTATCAACGTAGCATACACGGGTTATTTTCTGGTTTTGGTTCAAGTATTCATCAACATACTATATCATCGTCTATATCTACCAGTACTGTTCGTTCAAACTTTTCAGATCCTCTTGATAAAAATATTGATACGACTCAACAACACATAATCCCATTTGATTCAGAAGATTTAGATGACAATGATGGCGATTGGCAATCAATAGCTTCTGATACGGAAGAAAATGATGATGAACCATCTGACAACAACAACGAGATGCAATCTGATAGAAATTTTCACAGTCATAAAAGAAGTGGATCCTCCTCGTCATCAAGAACATCCACTAGTTCCGGTACAAGTTATGAAGATGAAGAAGAAGACATCAATTCGAATAATACTCGTATGCATACCAGTTTAGAAATTGTTGTACTTCTCTCATTATTTCGACATCGTCATTCATTATCAAAATCTTGTCTCACCGATATGTGTCGTTTATTACGTCTACTTGGCGTGCCAAATGTCCCTGTTGATTATAGATCGATCTATAAATTAATTAATCCATGTGGTAATTCAATGTTTCAACCGAAATTTACCGTTGTTTGTCCTACATGCCATAGAGTTAGTATGAATATGAAAAAATGTCCGATAACACATTGTACCAGTCATGCCGGCTACATTCGAGCACCGACTGTGAATTATACATTTAAACTTCGTAAACAAATTAAATCTATTTTAGAACGTGTACCTTTGACACGTATTGAAACAAATGATGGCCATATGACTGATGTCATTGATGGACTTGCGCACGCGCATATTCACAC